ATGTGGTGCTGGGGGATTGAACCGCGGTCCCTGATGTTTTTGCTAAGCTTGTTCTAAGTAGGTGCTTTAGACCACTGAGCCATCTCTCCAGCCCAGGACTGAGATTTTTGATCTATGCCCTTTTCATGACTCCCTAGATCAATGAATTATTTCAGGCTAAGTTCATTTTCTATACATAAGTCAGTAAAGAAGCTTCCAGATATAGCTATAGTGAAGCATGTACTCAAATCACAAAACCACTGGCCTCTATTCATAATCAACATCAAAATTGTGGTTTTGTTTACTTGCTCTCCAAAATAGTATACTCATGGGTGCTTGGACGTGTAAAGCTAGCCCTCTACGTGCAAGGTTATTTGGTCAACCATGGGTTGTAAATACTTTCAAAAATAGCAACCATACTGAGTTTTGTATGTAGACTGGCTGGTCATTACTCCCTAAATAGTATGTCTAACAAATTTCATAGTATTGACATTGCACCAGATATTGTGAGTACTCAGGGTGGTGTGAAGCTTACAGAAGGGTGTGTAGGTTATATGCAAATACTACATCATTTTATAGAAAGGACTCAAGTATTCTTAGATTTTTGTTCTGCAGGGGTCCTGACATTTTTTTGCAGAAAAAAAGTAACTATGCATTTGTATTTATGATTACCAGAAGATGAGCTTTTTGCTAAGCTACCCTCACAAAAAGCAGGATTTGTATAATGTCTCTACTATATTTTAATATATATCCTGCCTTACAGAATGTATATCTAAAAGATGCTTTTTCAGTAAAAGCCCCAGAATAGACTGAGTGGCACCTAAAATGCTGAGAGGTCCTAATGCAGTGAAGCAAAGATTCTGAAAATTGTCCTAAAAGACTTCACCTTCAACTCTGAGATACCTTTGAGAAGAACCAACTCCTATTAAGTTGCATTAAGTCTACTCAGAAGCTTGTGTGATTTACCGTGTGTGTGTGTGTGTATGTGTGTGTGTGTGTGTGTCTGCAAGTATGTGCATGCAGACACACACATAATGAAATGATCACATCAAATTCTGCGCATCAGGGCCAAAAACTGGCTCTGGATGTTTAGTGTTATTACTCTACAAGTTCTGAAAGCAACCTAGTTATGCTCAGGGCGTGGCTGTGGCAGTCCTTCCATCAAGAAGCAGAATGGACTGTGTGGGGCAGCTGGTGGGGAGAGGGAAGGCAAAGGGAGCCTGAGGTGGAGCTGCAGGGCATTGTGAAAGGCCCTTCCTCTTTAATTCTACTCATGTGAATAGTGTAGACCAATCTAGTGTGGAGGGCGCAGCTGGTGTGTGAGAAGAACAGGAAGGCTGGCCAGCATGTGCATGTTCCAGACCAGCAGCACACATGGACAGGCACACGGGTGTCTTACACCTCTGCATGTGAGCACACACATTATCCACCTACAAAGGTCCACGAGAGCACAGTTATATGAAGGAAATCTATACTTCACAGCAAAACACCTTCTCTCTGCTGTGTAGCTTTCCAATTAACAAGGCCCCATGATTGCAATGAAATATAATTACAGGCCAAAAATCAATGTCAGATTTAGCGACCTGCCTGGATATGCAACTTCTGACAGGTCTGCTGCCATTCTGACTCACTGCACTTGTGAGTCCTTGGAAAACAGTTGCTAAGACTTTTGACCTGGTAGAATTTTTCCTCATGAATGTTTTTCAATAAATATTTAGTGATCCCGGGGGCCTGGCCCTAGCTCAGTCCTTTAAGTGGCTGCTTCCACAAAGCTGTCAGCCTCAGGTTCCTGGAGTTCAAACCTCACAACTCTCCCGCTGGCCAAAAGTGCCCTGAAGGCATTTGAGGAAGAAAAAAAAAAAACAAACCCCTATTCCAAATATTTAGTGATCCCAATTCATGCGAGAGCTTGTGAGCATATATAGGAGTACTTAATCTGAAGGAATGCAAAAATCATTAAAGTAATCTTTGTATTTTATATATAAAATCTTACTTTCTAGGAGAAAAAAATCCAACACCACACAATTATCTACAGTATCAAGTGTAACTGCTCAAAATGCAGGCAGAGGAGGAATCAGCTTTCACTTGGGGGATCCTGGGAGGGGTCATCTGTTACATTTTGGTGTCTGGGGTGCTCAAATACCAAATGGTCAGCTTCTGGGGTTATGCTAAGTACCAAGTAAGATCACGTCCAGAAAGGTTGTATGATGTGTGGAAGCGCTCAATAAACAAGCTTGTAATGGGAGGAGGTAATTTAGTTGGGTACTGAGTGGAGGGTAAGATTCTGAGGGACAAAAATAAGGGTAAAAGAACTGACCCAAGCAAAGGTCCAGCAGAGGGCCACGTCACACATGGCAGGACGGCGGTCCACAGCAAGGACTTCTGAAGCAGGGAGTTTTGTCCCCGACTACCGCTACAGTCCAGTGGCCCTACAGGGGTAGGACAGCCTCGGAGACAGAGGAGCACCACAGCAACCTCTTCAGGGGGATTGTTCCCTGCCTGTTCATGCCATTATGCACTCTGCTGTAGCCAGGGCCACAGAGAGCTGGTACAAAACTAGCTGTCAATAGCTGCCTGGTGAACAAATGAAGGTGCCAATACAATAGCAAGCATATGAAAACCAGTCCCTTGATTCATCTAGGATGGTGTGGTTACGCAACTCCGGATTTCCTAGACAAACTTAATGTCGTAAAAATTACTTCTTTGTTACAGGATCTCATTACACAGCTCTGACTCATAGTAATTCTCCTGTCTCAGCCTCCCCAGCACTGGGATTACAGTCCTGCACCACCACACCCGGTTTCAGGGGCCGGTACAGCATCCCCAGGGCTCTGGGGCCAGCTGGACATGCGGTACTGGGGATCTAATCTGGGTCCTTACGCTTGTCAGGCAGGTGCTTAGACCGCCGAGCTGTCTCCCCTGCATCTGCAACTGCCCGTCATTTCACAGGCAAGGCTGAAACCTTGTGCATACAGCACAGCAAAGTGACTTACATGCTTGTGAGATTTTAATGATGTGCTTAGGATCAAGGTTAGAAATGTAAGTAAATTCCTCAGTTTTGGTGAAAAATGGTATTGATCAGGATGTCTTTTGATCTCGTAAAATATGTAGTCCTCATGTAACAGTGATATTTGCCTCACAGGCGCTCACAAGTTCAACTGTAATAGGCTTAGTTCAAGCAAATAGACAGGCGCATAGTTTAAGCCCACAAAAAGATAAAAAGCTCAATAAGTATCCTTATGTGCGGGCCTTGCTAATCCTAACTTATGCATTATTTGAATTTCTCCACAACAAAGGAGAAGGTTGGTCTACCGTCTAGAAGAATGAATAGACTCTTTTAGTTACTTAAATATACAAAATATAATTTAAAATAGCAACTATTTTTGAAGTAAAGTTAATCAAGCGCCTTAAAAATTTGAAGTTGAGTTGACATTTCCAAAGCAAAATAAGTACTGAATTGCACAATTCAGCAGCTCTTGGTACATTCTTAACGTTGTGTAATCATCTCCACTATCTAATTCCAGAACAGTTTTATCATCCCCAAATGAACCCTTGTCTCCATTAGCAGTCACCCCCATTCTTTCTCTCCCCAGCTGCTGGCAAAAGCTTATCTACCTCTGTCTCTATGGATTGGTCTACTCTAGACTCCCTAAAATTTTGTACAAAACAAGTACAAAGGATGATACGATAGCTATTGCCCACAGGACAACTATTTTTTCACAAAAAAAAGAGAATGTATCATCTTCTCCAAAACTCCTTCAAATGGTTGGCTGATAATGTGGCACTCCAAATGCCTCTTGTTCCTTTATTTGCACAGGATCTTTTCAAAACGTCCTGGTGTACCTAGACTTGTGTGGGTGAGCTTGGTGTGAGTGTGCGCCTCGTGAGTCTGGAGAATCCTGGCAAGACAGTTTAGCTCTGTCTGAGTGAAGACTTTCTTTCCTACCCTATACTCATGGGCCCCTCAGCGCCATGGCCTGCTTTGTTTGTCCCAGGTCCCCCCCCCCCGCAGCTCTATGTGTAAATGCACGCCTTGGTGCAGGTAGAGCCTCTGAAAACTCTCGTGTGTTCAAACTGCTCCTCCTCCTGCACGCTTCAAGCAGAGGATAGAATTTTCAGAGCTGAGCTATGTGTGGCCTTAACAAACCCCATTCAGCCACCCAATTTGTAGCCCAAACACAGGAACCTTTGGCATTGCTTCTTGTTCACTCGAGTGGAGGTTTTCCAGACGAGCCAGCTCTGGAGCCAGACAAGCAAGGAGCTGGGGGTCTGGAAGCAAAGTAAGCGTAGGCGAAGTGAACTGGGAATTACTTTCATTCCTGTGCTTGCCTGCAATGAGCAGGGTGTAACTACTTCAGCATAACAGCAACATTGCCACTCACAACCACGAAGCTCTCTTGTACCACTCTTCCACTCCAGGAGCCAACCAGGTGTCTGAACATCCTCAGGACCCCTAGGGATTTGGAACAACTGCCAAGTGGCTTTTAAACCACGGCTGACTGCTCTGTGAACATTTTCTTGATATAATGCATTTGAAGATGCCACTTGGCAAAAGCAAGTACAAGAGGCTGCTCTTATGGTGAGCTTTCCTGCCATCTGCCAGTGCGCTGTGGCCATCCACCTTCTGTGTGGACCTGGATTTATGCTATTCTGGGCGGCGCAAGGGGATGAGATTCCAAGTCAGTATTCCTTTTCTGACCGGTAGGTGGCGCTTCCCAGTTACATCAAACCAACTTTACCGGGGAGTTTTAGGAAATTCCCTTTTCATCAGAATTAACTCTCCACAAGAGGCCTAATTCTCAGCCCCACTTCTGAGACTCAAGCCTTCTGCGTACTCATTCTGGGAAGGAGGCCTACAAAACAATAAAGCAGATCATGCCTGCCTGTCCAGAGACATTAGCCTGGAGGGTCCCCAGGCCCTGAGAGAATGCTTACCTCGTTGGAATGTGTTCTGTTTTGGTGCTTGGCACGATCAGAGGCATTTGAGAATGCCTTGTTGCAGCCTTCATGCTCACAGACGTACGGCTTCTCTCCAGTGTGAGATCTCAAGTGTGTTTTCAAGTTTTCTAGTCTCGAGTAGGCTTTTGTGCAACCTTCAAACTGTGGACAACAGGTAAATCTGGATTACTTCACACAATGGCCCCTGCAGCCACTTAGGCCTAACCCACCATCCAAGGGGATAAAAACCTCACATCGAAAGGGTCAGCAGCTTTTGAAAACCACGGAACAAAAACTCCACTAAACTCTGCATTTATTGGGATGCCGATGTGGCTCGGGGCCGTTCAAGATAAAGCATCTTTCAGTGCCAGTAAAAGTTCTGAAGTTTTTTTTTTTAATAGGTCTCTCAATGTGGACAATGGGTTTCATTATCTGCTCATTGATCGCCTCGAATTCCCACTGATTTCAGATTCAGCACAAAGTTCATTAATATGGCTTTGTGTCAATACAAAGACAGGGATTTGATCACGTTTGTGAAGGGCCTTTAAGATGTAAAGTACCAGGGCTAGGCAGTGCCCACTGAGCCCTGTGGCACCTGGGTGGGAGGAGGCTCGGCCTCTGGCAGCCCTGGCCCCCTTGGCCAGCCAGCACGGAAAGCTTCATAAGTGGATGCAGGATGAGATCCTTCAACATAAATGTTTGAGACCAGAAGCAACTTGATTTTTTTTTCCAAATTCTGGGATATTTTGCTCATAGGTAATGAGATATCCAGGGACAAACCCCAAGTCTAATCATGAAATGCTTTTATGTCTCCTATACACCTTATACACGTAGCTTGTGGATAATTTTATAGAGCGGTTTACTGTGCCTGTGTTTTGACTACAACCTGTCACAGGGTACTTTGTGTGGGATTTTCCATTTGTAGAATCAGGTCAGCACTCAAAAAAGTCTCAGATTTCATACTTTATCTTTTTTTAAAGTACTAGGAATTGAACTCAGGGTTTTTGCACTGAGCTACATTCCCACATCTCCAACACTTATTGCTTATAATTATTATTATTTCTTTAGTCACTAGGCTGCTCAGGCTAAGCTCAATCCTTTGATCCTCGCCCTTCAGCTTTCTGAGTGCTGGGATTTTACAATCCTTCAGCAAGATCAGGCTTGGCTAGATTTTTCTTTTAACACAGGGTGCTCAATCCATGCAGGTATCAGGCTTCCAAGATACCAATGTAGACAGAAACAGGAAGCAGACACACTCATTTGCCTTCTTTATCCTCTTCTGCAGTAAGCTGCTGGGTGGGGACGAGGCTGGTGGCCATGACCCATTCCCTGGTGGCAGCCACCTGTTGCCCACACAGAACTCTGCAGAGCTGTCCTAACTAGTTAAGCTAAAATACATGCGCATCTACTCCTAGACAGTGCTCCTCCTTCTCTCAGCCACCAGCCAGCCAGGCATCTGCTAAACTGGAGTCCTCAGCACTTACAACCCTGAAGTGAAAGGACCCATGGACGAAGCGCCCCACCCCTGGGAGCCTGGAAGGTGGGCACAGCGCCCACGTGTGTACTCACAGTGCATTTGTGAGGCTTCTCGCCGGTATGTCTCCTCATATGCACCACCAACATGTACTGGGCTTTGAAGGGTTTCTGCTCCCTGGAGCAGTCAAGCCACCGGCACACAAACTCCTTCTTCTCCCCGTGGATATGGTCATTATTGATATGCTGGAGTGAGGAAAAGAAAAGGGAAGATGGAAATACAATACTCATTTCACAGGCAATGGGAGGAACCAACAGACACGGCCTTAACTTTAGTCCTAAGAGTATTACCTGGTCAAAGTGCCTATTTCCAAAAATTTGCTCTTGCTTACTGGGTTTGTAAGCTTCCTGCCAGGCAGGAATGACATTGTGCAGAGGAAGCCTGATGTTCCAGAAAAAGTACTGGGAAGGGCATCTGAAGAGCTGAGTTCACTTCTGAACTTTGTAATCAGATAACTGTGAAACTGGGTGAGCCATCCTCGACTCCTCTGGGCCTCCATTAATACTCATCTGCTAAGGGGGTGTGGGGAGGATCAAGGTGAAAGGATGGTAGAAGTATGCCATAGCTCTCACATACATGGTGCACGCATATGCATGCACAGATCTATAATTGGTAATAAGACAACTGAAATAATCTTTCAAATTAATCTGTAGTCCAACCTTGGTATGATTTTCTTTTGTTAAGAATCACAAAGAGAAGAGCTCGCTCCCAAAGGAGAGAAGGATGCTGTGGTCATCAGTGATGGAGCTAACAAGCAATCTAGCCCATTAGGGCTTTTGTTCTTTCCTTGCACAAAATAAAGGGAGAAGGCTAGGCTTGGAGAAGCAGCCCTGCAATCCCAGGACACTGAGAGGCTGAGGTAGGAGGATCACAAGTTTGAACTTGGCCTGGGTAACTTGGTGACTTAAGAAAACCTTGACTCAAAATTAAAAAGAAAACAGGGGTGGGGCTGGAGTTTAGTGGGCAAGTTCACTGAACAGGGTTCAGTCCTCAGTCCCAATAAACAAAAATAAAACAAACAAGGAATGGGCTCCCTAGTTTCTCAAGTCATCTCCAGGTTTAACGTCCTATTAATTCAGATTTTAGAGTGCAGCTGAACATTCTCAAATTCTTTATTAATTCAAGACTTTAGAACCACATTGTACTTGGTTTCCTGGATGAATACAATGAAGGCTTTCCTAATGGGAGACATGAAATATCCACATAGTGTGGAGGAAGAGGAGGGTGTCCCTCTGGACCACAGGAACATCAGTTTCAGTAAGCCAAGTACAATATTGCAATGTGCAGTTCTTGACGACCTGGGAGATTTACATCCTGTTTTGACTCTGGTCCCCCTGCATTATGTTTGCCTTAACTTAAGGCAGTTGAAAGAACTTTCTCAAACACACAGAGAAATACATCAGCTAAGAAACTTGTCCAGTCTGAATCTTGAGAGATGTCTCAGGGACCTAAGGGGAGAATTCCCCGATCACAGCTGACCTTTTCCACTTTCTCCACTAGGTGGCTGCCCGCTTCAGGAAAAGAAGTTTAACACAAAAATAAGTTTTTGTGCTGTTTGTGGAGCTTAAAACCATATGAAAGCGGAGAAAACAAATGATTACTCTCTTTTTGATCCTTGAATGGTTCTCAGAATGCTGGATGAAGAGAAAACAGTGGTTGACGTATCACAGCACGCAGGGAGAACATTACAATCTGGGGGAAGCTGGAAACCATAGTTCCATCAACAGAAGCACTCAAGAATGTGTGTGACGACCTTGTAGCCAGCAGGTGTGGGTTCTTACCAAATCAAGCCATCCTGGGGATCAGCACTTCTTAAAAGTCATGGTGGAACACACATGTATGCAAAGCAGCAGCAAGTGATCTATGTGGGCTTCCAGCTCAGCTTCATGGCTGATGTGCGCAGGGGTCTCACAACTATCTCCCACACAGTCCTTAATGTGTACGGGAGTCCAGGCATTGAGATTTAAGGCCACACAGTAGGAGGATGTCTACGAATTCTCTTCTGCAGAGAATGATCACAGAAAACCACTCCCTAACAACTGCTCTTAGGGCAGTTTTTAGTAGAAGTACATAAGTGGAGTCTTTGGATTATTATTACAGAAGGAAGAGAAGGCAGGCAGACAGCCCAGGGGGCAGGATGGAATGCAAGCAAAGAGAGAGGAGGCTAAGAGGGGAGGTGAAGGAAAGGAGAAGGAAAGAAAGAAAAATCAAAATGGGGAAACAGAGACTCAATTTGTGCTGATCCAACTCCAAGAAGAGCTTGCCTAGCTGTCTTTTGCTTCCTCCTCTTAGCAGCAGTGTTCTGGTTCTTTGCAAAGACTCAACAAATATTTGTTGAACTGATCTGACCCCACGGGGCAGAGTACATTCTCAGTGGACAACAGAAGCCACACGGGATGCTTTTATCCTACTGCAACCTCACTTCACCTGGTGCCTAAACAATAGGAATTAAACACATGGTATTTCTTTACTTTGAAAGAATGAACACTGAAGAATTTCAAAAATATTCTAAAGATACCCAACTAAGAAACTGGTCTTGCTAGACGGAATGAAAAGGCACTTAATTACAACAGTGCTTTTCTAAAGTGAGTTTCGGAGGACGTGCTGCTCAGTAATGTGCTCATCAGGTCCTACGCTGGGCAGTAAGGTGCACACGCTTCTTGTCTTGAGGAGAGGACGGTCCACTGAGGGAGAAGAGGTAATGACTTAAATTTCTGCAAAACTACAGTTGTGATCATCATCAGGATGGGAAATAATGGGTTTTATAAAGAAGCATAGCCAGGCCTGGGTAGAGCATAGGCTCCTGAGTAGAGCCTCGGACTCAGGTTGACTTCTCAGATGAATGTACTTCAAGTAGGATCTGACCGGAAAACCAACTGGGGACCCAACATGTGTCAGGTAAGGTGGGAGTGGATACAAAGGGACACTTCTGTAGGTGGCCAGCAGGAGTGCTGAGGATGAGCACGAGGGCCGCCGTTGGCAGGACAGAACTGGCCAGCCAGACAAGGTGGCCTCCAGCTCTGCCGCTGCATGGCAAATGATAAGAAGACACCCCCCTTCTTGGGAGTCAAGTGGACACCACTGCAGAGGTGGCTGGGCTTGGGTCAGCTTGCCAGGGCTTGCCTCCTGTGCAGTGTGCTGGGCGAGAAGTCCACAGTGAGGCCTGGGGCCACTGCTCCTCAGAATCACAGGAGCCATCAAAATATTTGATGACTGCTTACATAAATATTTATTATAGTAAGAGAAAAATTGTCGTGAATCCTTCTCGAGGTACTTCCTGTCACCCTGAACATAGTGATCCCATCTTTCTTGGCCCTTTCGGAAGTACTTTGGAAAGTCTTGTCTCCTGAGTGTTTTTACCCAGCTCAGTCCACACTACAGTGTGTGGGGTGCCCAATGCCACCCGAGGCAAGACAGTTTTGTAAAAACACAAAGGTGTTCTCATCGACCTTGTTCTCTGTATCTTCTACTGGGAGAGATGTGGTTCTTCTCACAGAGAAAATGACCGCGAAAGGGAAGTGTGTTGGATCTCTCAGGACCTCAAGGCAGCCACAACAACATAATTGAAAACACATGAAATACGACTTCCAAAACTGCTTCATGAAGTGGCAAAAAGCATCGGATTTTTTTTTCAAAGAAAGGGAGTATCTTGAGGGGATTTAATAGTAATGTATTTTTTGCAGTAATACATATTTTAAAAACTTAAACATCTACTGCACTTGCCAATCTCACCCTTGAATGCCTGTTCCCAAGAAGGAGGACATCAAGGGACTTGGTGCTTCTTAGCGGAATGGATGACAAACGAGTGGGTCAGGGGCATTTGCCAGCAGGGAGACGCTGGCCTTGCCTCCCTCTGAGGGCCAACACAGTGGGGAAACCGGCCTCCAGGACAGGGAAGGGTGTTCAGGTCCAACTTGGACCCTGAGTGCTCCAGGGGAGTACCATAGCAAAGGCCTCATCCTTTTTTTTTTGGCGGAACCAGGGATTGAACTCAGGCCCTTGTGCTTGCCAGGCAAGTGCTTATTCTACTGAGCTATCACCCTGGCTCCAAAGGCCTCATCCTGATAGGGAAGGGGAGACTATGGTCCACACATAAACTAAGAGGCTTAAACTGAACTTATTTTAGAAACACAAGTGCCCAGAAGGTCGTGGAATCTGACTACAGAAGGGTGCGCATGTGTGCGTGTGTGCGTGCTCGCATGATGCGTGACTGAGCGTATTTATATCTCACGGAGATTTGCCTGACACGTGTGGGTACCTGATGGAGAGAAACCCTCTCCTTGTGGAGAGGTGTGAGGAGGAGCCAGTGCTGGGCAATCAAAGCAACTTCTCCCCGAGCACAGCGACCATCTCGCCATTTTCCCTTTCATACTGGGAGCATGGACCTGAGTCCCAACCAGTGTACTTGTATCATTTTCTGAAACTACTCTTGACTTCAAACTTACACTGATATCAGTAGTTATTTTTCTATAAAGGAAGCTGTAGGATAGTGGAGGGGTGAGACAGGTCCACTCTGCTTCTTTTTCCTGCCCCAATTTCTGACTATTTACGTGATTCCACTTTGTTTTAAACTTATATTCTCAAGAGCAAAATTTTAGGTGAAAATTAAAATTCTGAATAATCACAGACTTCACAGGGCTTATATTCTAATTTCTTTATTTTTTTTAAATGCACTGACTTCTCAGCAAGATCACCTGAGAGGGCTCTGTCGGGTCAACCTTTTCTGTATGAGACCATACAGTAAGTATTTAAATTCTGTCATCCAAAGATCTCTGTAGGTAGTATGTAAATCAACAAGGTGGCTGTCCATGTAGAGATAAGGAAAATTTTTATATTATGAAATATTCCTAGGTTACGGAGATAGCTCAGTGGCATAAGTACCCGCCTGGCAAGTATAAGGTCCCAAGTTTTATTCCTAGAACTATAAAAAGAAGAAAAATGAATAAATAATTCCTTAAAATTTTTAAATAGTGGTTTAAAATTACGAAAACTATTCTCAGCTCCTGACTGAGCTCATGGGTTCTACACAAGCAAACAGTGGGCCAGTCATGGCTCTCTCTAAACTGATTTCAGAGTTCTCTTCTTGTTCTGCTATTTGTCAGGTTAGCTCTCACACCTTAGAAACTGAAATTAGAAGGAGAAATGTTATGAGAGAAAAGAAAACAGCTTGAGAAAGGAATAAAAA